GCTCACTGGCCTGCCCCCCCCCCCCGTGGTTTCTCAGTCTTTTTTATTACAACATCCAGGACCACCTACCAAAGGCAGTAACACCCACAATGGCCTGGGCTCTCACATCAATCATCAACCAAGAAAGTGCCCCACAGGTTTGCCTACAGGCCACTCTGGTGGGGACATTCTCTCAGTGGAGGTTCCCTTTTCCCAAATAACTCTAGCATGTGTCAAGTTGACATAAAACTAGCAGCTGGGGTACTTACATCTTACATGAAGAAAAGGCCAAAAGCAAACCCCAGGAGAAATCATACACGAAGGCCCCCCTGAAGTTCCCTTGTACCCACTAACCCTCCACAGCCCCCATCCTTCTAAGAGTGTGCCCCACTGTATCAGACTGTCCATGATCGAGGGATGAAGATGGGGGGACCCAGTCACACACCCCCAGTGCTTTCGCTTCTCTGAATTAGCATGCTCATGCCCACCTGCTGTCCCCCTGTGGGAATGAGAGATTGCGCCCCCACCCCCACCCTCATGCTCCAGGAGCCCTAGTCTTTGCAGCGTCTTCTTTCACAAATACCCTTCTATTTAGGTAGGAAGGACACAGACACTGCCTGGTGTCAGTGCAGGGGACTTGTCCTGAGTGAGGGAAGTTCCCCCGAAGCAGGAAGGGTAGATGGTCTCAGGCTCTGAGAAGTCATGGGGCTGTGTCAGTGTGTCAGTGGCAGGCTTTCCGTCCGCGTTGACTCACTGATACACCTGCTCCAGGAGTGAAGGAGAAGCAGAGCTCAGAGCATGCTTGTGTGGACATGGGTGTGCTTAGAGCGTGCTTGTGTGAACCGCATTTAGGCATGCAGATGTTAACCTGGGATTTCAAATTTCTTAGCAGCTTGGTCTCACTTACTCTCTGCATCAAAACTGCTGTGTGATGTCAACATCCCCGCTAGATGGGAGGAACGGACTCTACCAGGAACACTGGGTAGGGTGGGGCTGCTCCACCCCTGGCCAGCTGTGTCTGGGAACAGGTGGTACAGCAACAACCTGCTATGTGTTCTTTGTCGATCTGTAGACAGTCCAACAGCAGCGGAAGTATTACCAAGACAAGACTGGAACGGTGTCCCGTGTTCCTTACTTTGTACTGCCTGTGAAGGAGCCGGACCGGTACCCTCTACCCACAGACCTGTGAGTGTCCCTCTCTTCCTCTCTGCTGTCAACAAACATACAGCCACAGGGCACCTATTCCTCCTCCAGCCCTGGAGCCACGACCCTGAGAAACAGTTAACCTAGCCAGTGGTGCCTGCCATTGCAGGGGATTCCAGGTCCAGCAGCGTTGCCTGGCGGGGTGGAGGGGGACACGCCAGAAACCTGAATAACCTGCCCACTGCTTCCTCTCTAAAGGCCCTTGTCAAAGCTACACCAGTCCAAACCTGGGGCCGCTGCTGCCCTCTGGTGGATGAATAGGACACTACAAGGACTAGGAACTGGTCATTGGCTTGTCGCCCACACCTCTCCTCCTCCTAAGAAACCCAGTCTGGGATGTGCAGGGAACCTAGTCCCACACTAGGGACTTGAAACTATCTTAAAAGTCTAACTAGCCAGGTTTCAAAAAGTAAGAAGAAGCCTTAAAGCCCAGCTCTGGCGTCTGCTATGGCAGAGTCCTTCTGCCCACCCCCAGGAAAGACCTTCGCTTCCTCCAGCCACCGAAGCACAAGTTTCACACATTTGTTCCCAGGGGCCTTATGGCTAGGGTAGGGAGGTGACCTGTGCCTTGGGTAGAGATGAAAACTCGAAGCTCGTTTCTCACCCCACTCTTGAAACCCACCTGTCTCTGTCTGAGAGGGGCATGGACAGGCTTGGGTTTCTAACTTTGAATCCCTGCTTGCCTCAAGAGCCCCAGCCCCAGCATCCAGATGTGGATACAGCAGCTGTTCCCACACAGTGTGATACACTTTGCTGACATTGTCTCAGTGCCTCTAGAAGTACATCTCTGTAAGACAGATGGGTCTGACGCATAAGAAAGTAAACCAAGTCCAGTGTGGACCTCGGGAGCTTGTGCTAGGTTGCCTGGTGGTTGGAGACCCCGTCTGGGAAGAGACCTATGATTGCTGCGGTCAGCTCAGCCTTTGGGTTGACTGTCTCTCTCTTCCAAGTCAGTGAGTCCCTTGAAACTGAGCCTTTCCTGGGGACAGGTTTCCTGACATCTTGTTATATGTACCCCCTCTTGAATCTTCAGGTCTTTGTATCTCTTTCTTCTCCAAATTACCCAGAAGTCTGTACTGCTGGTCATGCCATGACCGAGACAGACAGTTAATTTTAAATGGCTGGTCAGTGGTCAGCTCTGCGTCCTGGAGAGTCTCTAGCCTCTCAGAGTTACAGCACCACCATCACCGCCATCACTGCCATCACCGTCATCACCGTCATCACCACCACCACATGCACCATCCATCACCACCACCATCTCTACCACATCAGCAGCCAGCATCTTCTGTAATGGCCGAGTTACTCCTCGCCTTGCACTAAGTGCCAAGAGGGTAACAGTAGCAGCAGTTCACTATCACGTGGGTTTGTTTCCAGCAGGAGACAGGACCAGAATCCAAGTCACTTGTTCACTCAGCAGATATCACACTGCTGACGGCTGCAGGACCACAAAGCTACAGTGGGCCCATGGGGTTATGGGAAACATTCCTCCCCCTCCCCTGGGCACACTGCCTGACAATAGCCCATCTTTACTCTCAGGCCTCCTCTGAGCGAGAAGAGTAAGTGGAACCTATTAAGAGTATCCCCCGACTATGTGAGGACCTGCCAGACCTTCCCATCAGGGAAGAGAGTTTCCTCTCAAGAGCGGCAAAGGCGGGACTTTTACTTCGAGTTCAGAGCCTGAAACCAGGTGGCTGACACCAGGGAGCCTTGGCCTGACCAGGCTGGCTTGCTTGTAATAAAATCTTCAGCCACAACCATGCCATGTGCCTCTCAATTGGATCCTGTCACCATGCGTGAAGGTGTCCTGAGTGTCTGGGGAGAGCTAAGCCCAAGGGATTTGAACCAAGAAGCAGCGACCAACTACTGTGGGCCACCCAGCTGTGCCCACGTTGAGGCAGGTGGGGCTGGTGGGGATGACAACGGCCAGGCTCATAAGGCTAACCAGGCAGTGGGCCACTCGGGGACAGAGACCTCCTGTCTGCTTTCACTAGTATAACTGAGAACACGCAGCTGTGTCTGGGGTGGGTGGCATGACCCCAAACAGTTTCCCTCTGTATTGCCACTCAGCTGACTTTTCCCATTTCTCCTTACCAAGTCTGGGACCTTAGCTGCAAAAGTGTATGCCACTAATTCCCAAGGTGTTTCTTAGTCCAATCTGACTGATAATCAAAATAACCCAGGATTCTCCCTGGAGCCTGGCATCATTTAATTGATCCTTAGGATAACTTGTGAGGGAAACATCATCTGCCCTCATCACTGATGAAGTTAGGGAACTTCCGGGATGCTGAGAAACTTGCCCAAGCACACACACAATAAAGAAATAGCATGGACAGGATTTGAACTATGTCTTTTGAGCTCCCCAGTCCTGGTTTCACAAATGTCACACACCCATGTGGAGACAGAGGGAGTGTTTGTGATCTCGAGGGGCCTGGCATCGAGATGAGGGTGGGTGGATGGTTCTTGAGAGAGGAAGTCATTTGAAGCAGGCAATGTCTTGAACTCAGCACTGACTGGGAAGAGCTGGCTGATTAGGTTTCTACACATACTTAAGCTTATTTCTTAAAGAGCTGGAGGAATGAGCTGGGACTAAACTACTCTTAGCAACATGGCCTCAGGGAGTAAGTGTCAAAGTCGCAACAAGACTAGACAACCTTCGAGGATCAAAGTCTGCTGTCTGTCCCAACATGGCTGCTTCAGACATCCTGGGAAACTTTTGATAGGGCAGAGGGTAGGGCACAAAGTCCCATAGATCGTTCTGGAAGGAGATCTCAGCTCAGGAGTGTGTACACCATTGGGCTCCCCAACATTCCACCCATCCTGGATTAGATCAACGGGACTCTGTCAAGCATTGGGGTCCTATTATCACTGAACAGGGGAGACAAGACCTAAAGACAGGATGCGAGTGTACACTGTGGCAAAATAACTTTTCCTGTGTGATTGGTACTATCCGCCTCCCTCAGGCCCACACAGATAAGCCACATGTCCAGCAGATAGGCATCTGGCAGCTCCCACAAGTTCCCATGATAAACTTCTTCTGTGTTCCAGAGTCTCTAGACAGCTGGACCCTAAAGTGTCCCCGGAGAGGCCAAACTCATTACAGGGCTTGGCTGAATGGCAAAGCAAATAAGCCCTAAATGCTGGTCACACATGGTCCCATCCCCAGGGCCCAAGGGTGGCAAGCAGGGCCAAGATGTCTTCTCCCTGAGAGGAAGCCAGGGAAGTCAGGCGCCAACTGGAATGACAGCTATGTGTGCATCCTGATCACGGGTGGGTTCCAGAGGAGGGAGAGACGAATATTTGCCTTCTGAACTTTGTCCCACTTGGCTTAGTCTTATCCTCTGACATGGGTCGAGGTTTGAACTGTCCTCAAAAAGGCTGCCATCCCAGCTTGCCAGGAGCTGTTGGCAAACCTGAGCCCTAGAAGAAGCACCAGTTCCCTGTGTAGGACCCTGCTTTCAGAAAGTATTGGGTATAGATGGGAAAATACATATTTATTTAGCAAACAATATTCTAGAGGTGACGGAGGGACAGAGCTGAGTCACACTTCAAATCAAATGCCACCGTGCTGGATGCAGGGCGTCCAGTAGTCTTCCTTGAAGCTGCTGAACCAGACGGTGGCCTCCACATCAGCATCCCCAGAAATGAATCCGAAAGGAGCTGAAAGAGGGACCCAGAGTCATCTGAGGTTCCCACCCGAGTGCAGGTGTGTGTGTGTGTGTGTGTGTGTGTGTGTGTGTGTGTGTGTGTACATGTGTGCGTGTCAATGAGGGTGCATATACACATATGTACACGTGTGGAGACCAGAGCCCAGGTGTGGTTCCTTAGGACATCTACCTTGTTTTTGTTTGTTTTCAGACAAAGTCTTGCTGGGGCCAGAGAGCCCAGGGACTCTCCTGTCTCGGCCTCCCTAGCCTTGGTATTGCAAGTATACACCACCACACTCAGCTTCTACTATGGATGCTAGGGATCAAACTCAGGTCTTCTTGACTGCATAGCAAGGAGTTTGAGTTATTTCCACAATTCCTAAACTTTCTTTAAGCTTCTTCTAGTATCACCAGAACACACAGGGTTTCTGAATTTTATGGTGGCCAACGGAAAGAAACAGGAGTGATTCAGGCACAGGTACAGGGCAGATATATGGGGCCGTTGTGGAGGGAGAGGGATCTCCTTTGATGGAGGTGATTCAAGCATGGCCTCTCTAGGTTCTGCCCTAGCCACAGCCCTGGAACCTAAAGATGTCATGTCCATCTAGGCGATTGGAAGAAGCTTGACACCTGACCCAGCTGGGCCAATCAGAATGCCTCTGTTAGGAAATTTAGAATTGAGCTAAGACATTACTTAAGAGTCACTGAAGTTAAATCAGAAGCAAACAGACACCAACTGTTGGGAGCCCATGAGACATGACAGGCCATGTCTGACAACCCAGAGGATGCTGGCGTGCAGTGGAAGGTAAGTGTGGAGGAGAAGAGGGAACAGAGGGAGAAACGGGTCAGGAAGAGGGAGATGGGAGTGTGTAGCTATCTTGGCTCCTGCCATGATTCCTGATAGACCAGCTCTGTCCGTTTTTGAGTTGGTTTGTAAAAATTTCAAAAGCTATCATCCTTCTTCACCATCAAATTCGTCTTGTCTATGAGGCAAGGGGCAACTTTAGAGGCAAGCGTGAAAGGCACATGTCACCAGATGCCAACTCAGCATATGTAAGAAAGACCACTCTTACAGGACTCTTCAGTCATGGCATGGACCATCTCTAGAGATGATGCATTTGCCCTGAATTGGAAGGAACTGGAAGACAGGCAAATATGACCTTGGAGGTGCAGAGACAGAGTCATCTGAGGCACTCTGGAACACAGATTGCTGAGGCCCCTTCTGTTCTCCAGTGGAACGATTTGCTTTTCTTGTCATCTCCCAGTGTATCTGGGTAATAGTGGGCTACGCTCAGGTCAGATCTGAAGGCTGGCATGGGAGATATACATAGATGTCTGCAGTCAGGGGCAATGGCTCTCAGGTTACACAAACGTCACACATGGTTTGCAAGCCCTGAGATCCTGTCAGCCCCTGTCTCGGTTCCCCAAGGTTAGCTGATTTCTCAGAAGCTTCGGTTTTACTATTTCTGAAAGAATCAGGGAAGTACTAGAAACTCATGACTTCCATGGGAAGGCAGAGATAGCCCGTAGTCCAGGGGAGGCTAGAGGACCTTTGCCGCCTCCAACCTTACTAGAAACCCCCTGCCCTCAAGAATGTCTTACTTCATAAAATCTGGAGATTTGGCCATTGCGTGTTCGAACTCGGAGAAGGAAAGCATGTTGTCATTGTCCAGATCTGATTCACTTAGGACCTGGTAGAAAGAAGGAGGCTGAGAGGAGCCTTGGGGATGACAGGTCTCAAGAGGAGGGAGGCAATGATCTGTGCAGAGGAACAACCTATCACATGCCAGGGTGTCTCAGGGCTCCCACCCCACAGAAAGGTGAAAGTGTATGAGCTAAGGTAGGGGTGGAGGAGGATTCATGGGCTTTCTCCTGGAAGGACTCTCCTCATGGGGCCCCCCAGCACCAATGTGGTGAGGACAGTAAGCCCCATTCACCCTATCAGCCAGACATTAACATGGGCCCTGCATTGTAAGAAGCCTGAGTCAGGCAGGAGGTGGTGCCATCTAGACCTGAGATACTCAGAGGTTCTCACAGCCTAAGAGCACATGGGCCTGTGCCTCATGTTAGGTTTTCAGGGCTCTCTCTATGCCTCGTCACTAGGATATCTGGACACTGTGCTCCTAATGAATAACAAGGGAGAAGACATTGTGATCCTTGGTGCCCCGTGTGGGTGGGAAGCTCTCGGGAGGGAAGGCAGGATACATTGTTCTGGGGAACATAGACAATCCTCATTGGAAGGATAGACAGTTAAGGTAGAGTTCTCTCCACTGTGTGCCCATTTCTCAGGGCATCATGTGCCACTCATCCCCATGGCAGCTGCAGTTGACTTTGGACCGATTCCTTCCAAGGAAGGCCATCCAGAGCCCCAGGTTCCACCCTTCAGCCTCTGGATACATACATGGTCCGTGACGTCCATCAGCAGGTCCTCGGACACATCATCACTCTTCAGCAGCCTTAACACTATCTTCTGAAGGTCCTCCTCATCAATGAAGCCATTCTCATTAAAATCTGCAGAGGAGATGAAGGCTGACTCCCATAAGTCTCTGAGAGTTCAAGGAGAGCCCATTTGCCCCAAGTGAGTCTAGAATCTGGGACATGACGGCCTAGCTGGCTTGTAGGGGTGGGACATGCTGCAGAAGGGCTAGCTGTAGACAATATTAAGTAAGGCAACAATGATTGCAGTAATTATAAGCATTGACTGCGTGCCTACTGTGTGCTCAGATGTATCCTACTTTAAGTCATTGAAGCCTCACCATCTACTTTTTTATTATTTTGTCAAGAGGAGACCGAGGTTGAGGCTCGATATAGCTTGTCCACGGGGCCAGGGAATGGAAGAGAAAAGTTCAAACCCACCTAGGCTGACCTGGCCCCATGTCAAAGTCCATGCTATGGGGATCTCCATTTCAGAACCCAGAAGCCAGGTTGTGGTTTGGTGGCCGGGAGCCAGGCAGAGTAGAGGAAAGGAAGGTGGCTTGGGTTTGGAACCCAAATCCTTGAGCATCTTCCCATGCTTCTGTCTTGGGTAGTAGCTGCC